GTTATTACAGTTACGCAAGCAACCAATAAACTATCGGCGACAAACAGACACTTAAGCCGCATATAATAAAGATATTTATTTATTCCATTTTATTTGTTTTTTCGTCGTTGCCGGTTTTTGCGGGTTGCATATTTCTGAATTCTATTATATATAGATATTAAATTTATTTATTAAATGTTAAATGCACGTGCTTTTGTATTTTTAATTTTTCCGGCTTAGCTTTCTCCTAATATTCATCACGCGCTGCACTGCACAGGGAATACAACAATTTAAAGTTACGCAAGCAACCAATAAACTATCGGCAACAAACACTTAAGCCGTTTCTATAGAAGCGGCTTAAGTGTTTGTTGCCACTCGGAAAAATGAGCGCGGAAATTAACGTTTCCGAAATTTTTAATTAATATCTCGGCTGATTAAAGTTGTACGGAGATGGGAACGGTATCGATGGATTCGGAAAATTTTTTGGAATCCGAGGATACGAGTCTCGAATTTCAACTTGGCGCCGTTCCGTAGATATTGGAGAAAAAAGAATTTGGCTAGTAGCCAAATTCCTGTAATAGGGGAAACCCAAGAAAGAAAGGAGAAAATTAGTTCTTAATTAATATCTCGGCTAATTAAAGTCCCACGAAGACGCATAGGGTCAAAATGGCGTCCCACGGACTTGCGGAATCCAACGGTGTACTTCGCTAAGCTCGGGAGCCAGCCGTTTCGGAGGAAATAATGTTACTTCACCCTATATATATATATATATGCGGCTTAAGTGTCTGTTTGTCGCCGATAGTTTATTGGTTGCTTGCGTAACTGTACTAGCCAATGGGGTGAAGTTGTCACTGCACAGGGTTGCCATTTCAATTGAGACGTAAACAATTTCCTGTAAAACTTGCCTTTCTTATGACCATGAATAAGTCTCAGGGACAAACGTTTAAGCATTAGGGACATTTTTTTACCTGAGCCTGCATTTGGACACGGTCAAGTTTATGCTGCCTGTTCAAGAGTTCGTGAAAGAACGGACGTAAAATTAAAAATAATTGATGGTTCTCTGCAAGGCGAGCTTAAAAATGATGAAAAGATCTACACAAGAAATGTTGTGTACAAAGAGATTTTTGACATGTGAATTAACATTTTATTATTTAAATCCCCTTTATTTATTGAGCTAGCGGTGGCTCTTAAGAAATGTACCGCCAGTGGTTTCCTTCATTGCACTCTACTTTAAGCAATTAAACAAGTGGAAGGGGAAAACCCCGTGGGGTAGTAAGCAAAGGGGCGTCATCGCCGCCTGGCCTGGGTAATTCAGTTTGAATTAGCAGACATCTCTGCACAAATCATTTTAATTGCAATTTATAATATCTAGAACAGCGATTATTTCGTATGACCGCTGTGCTTTCTAGTTATGATTGAAGTGCGAAGAACATGATATTTAATAAATAAAGGTAGCACACAAAATGTAAAAAAATAAACGCCCAGTTGGACGTAATTTAAAATCTGAAACCTTTCAAATTTCATTTTATTTATTTATTTACCTTTGGTTTTGATATGCAATTAATAAATCATTTTTCAATATGATAAGCAATACTTACACGACTTTCAGCAATTACTTACACGAAATGATAAAAAAAATTTTGCAGCGATTTTGCCAAGATATCAGAAATTACATCAAAATTTTTTGTAAAATTCATTTAATTTTTGTTTAATTTATTTTAATTCTTAGTTTTTTTCTTTGTTCTATGCGGTGGTACAAAGAGTAAAATTCTTAGATTTTTTAGCTTGTTCGTTAAATGGAAATATGTGCGAAAAACCGTTTCAGTATTAAATTTAAAAGAATCTAAATCGAATTTTGAAAAAGATCGGTTCGCTGTGTTGTATTATCATCCATAAACAGTTCTGTATACTACATTTTTCACTAACTCAAGATCAGTTTTGAAAATATTACTGTAGAATGGCATCGTCGACAATAATCGGATGACGTGACATGCTGTGAAAAAGAACTCCTTTTTTTCGCATGAAAGAATTCAGACGATAAAGTAACGTTAATTCGAGAATATTACAATTATACAATCGAACATAGATCTGGTACCCATGTGCAACAAGTTGACGCTTTGAGTAAAAACCCTGTATGTATGGTAATTGAAGATGGCTGTTTTCCTCAAGCACTACACTATAATAAACTCGGGAACAATGGACTGTATTATATCACACTTTTATTCTCATTAATTTACATCGTTCATGGCCACTCGAAGGGTCGAATTCTCTCTCACGCTCTTAGCTCACAATCTCATGTCACAAACTCTAAGAGCTCAAGGCGCATGCGCAGACGCTAGTAATGAAATGCGCACGCAGGCGCAACATACCGCCCGCCTTGACATGATGTATTCATTCAAAATTGTAAATATTACAATAAAAAATTACACAGTGTGACAATGCGAAATACAGGTAAATAATTGTAAACATCAAATAATAACATCAAACTACTATAATATGAAAATACAATAAATTAATTACAAACATACTTTTTGTTTACTTTGGCATAGGTAAAACACAAACTTTATTAATTGATCTCTTAAAAATACCACTTTTCGTTTTCACTGAAACTACTCTAACCTTATTGTCTTTACCTTATCAGGTTCTGTGTTCCTCCTTACTTGCTTAGGGAACATTAACTGTCCTGACTCGGAACAGGGAGCTTACTAAAGCTATGTTCAATAAATTTGGGAAGTAGACAATACACACAGGAAGGGTATACGAAACCCTTTATTTTCTCTCTTTACAATGAATTCCGGACTTCGGGAATACAGAGACCAACCACTTGTGGTCTGAACGTAAGAATATAAAAATATTAACTAAACTCTAACTAAACTAACTTTGGATAATCAAACAATGTGCCTAACTCCAATATTGGCCGTATATTAACAAAAAGCCGTATGTAGTACAGAGAACTGCTAACACTACGATACGTTTAAAATTATCAAGAGGATTAAACCTCTGGCCTGGAAGGCAACCAGCAACCGAGTAAAAAATGCTAAGGCAAGCGGCCTGCTAAGGCAAGCGGCCTGCTTCTAGTAACTCCTTCCTCTCTCTTGCTTGGCAAAAAGCCACAACTTAAGTACTTGGCGTTCGCCAACAAATTTGCATAAATAAGTTAAAGCTTTTAATTCTGGCCGGAAGTAGAAAATAAGAAGTGATAGTAAAGATTTAAAATAAAATAAACGTTAGTAAAACTTAGGATCCTTACAACCTAAGTATATCTCTACGATTCTGCCAAGAGGCCAGTTACATACAGGAACATTATCAGTCTTTAAAATTACCATAGTTCCAACCTTGACATTGTCTTTTTCAAAGAACCATTTAATTCTTCCTTGCATTGCACTCAAATAATTATTTTTCCAGTACTTCCATATTGTTTGCACTATTTTAGTCAATTTTTGCCAGTTCTTTAATCTATTATCGTTAACATTTAAAATATTAGGTTCTGCAGTAGCAGTGATAGGTCTGCCTATCAGGAAATGGCCTGGTATCACGATATTAAAATCCTCTGGTTCATATGATAAAGGATGCAAGGGCCTAGAATTAAAAATGCCTTCAATTTGAGTAATTACTGTAAGAAACTCCTCATAGGTTAGTTTTAAATTGCCTACTACGCGTTTCAAATGAAACTTAACAGGTTTGACACCTGCCTCGCAAAGACCTCCATGATTGGGAGCTCTAGGGGGAATAAACGACCAATCAATACCCTCACTCGATAAATAATTCCAACACAATTTCTTTAATTCATCATCTGGTTTGCTGACTAGCCTATTCAATTTCTTTAATTCTGCGTTGTTACCAACAAAATTGGTTGCGTTATCTGAAAATATGTGTGCACACTTGCCTCTCCTACTAAATAAACGCTTTGAGGTTGCAATAAATGCTTGACTACCAACTCAAAGTTACTTGACTACAACTCAACTCTGTTACCAACTCAAGATGGCAAGCTTTGGTAACAAAACAAACAAAAATGCACTCATACACCTTGTTAAGGCTACCTTTTCTCTGATGTGGGTATTTTATAAAATAAGGACAACAAAACAAAACAAAACAAAAAAAAAAAAAAAAATCTCCAACACAATTGAACGAAATTTCGGGCTGACTCTTTCTTGAGGGAGTTGACCCGTAAGTTGTTGACAGGACACTGGTTTCGCTTTGAAACATACAACACATTCATGTACCATTTTTCTGCAAATGTTGCGCCCGGCGCCCGTTTAAGGTCCAAAACCCTTAAACGGGCGCAACATTGGCAGAAACCCTTGTGGGCCAATATGCATTTATTTCTTATGAAACATCACAATAATTAGCTTAGTCAATTTATGATTCTTTGGTAAGATTATTGGGACTTTTCTATCAAAATTCAACTTACAATTATCTAATCTGCCTCCAACTCATAGAATTCCACACTGATCTAAAAATAGAAAAATATTTCTTAATTTGCTATTTGGAGATACCTTACCCTCCTTCCCAAGGCTTGAGATTTCTTTTTTAAATTCACTATTTTGAATTAGCTTAATCAGTTTAAGTTCTGATAATTTTAATTCTGAGCTCTGAAGAGGACCTGAAACTTTTGTTCTTCCCCTTGCAGTTGTTTACAAACCTAAAATAAAACTTAAAACACGAATAATTTTAGAGTAATTATTACTTAAATTTAAGAAATCCTCAATAAAAGGGTTAGCTTTAACATTAAGAAAAATATTAGAGTCACTAAGGATTTTAAGTTCGTCTGTAAAGTTGTTCACAATGACTTCCACCGGAATCTCTCTATTTGGATACTCGTCGTTTCTCAGGAACAGAGGGCTTTTCCACCAGATATCATTTTGTAGAAGTTTACTGAGGTCTAAACCTCGGGATATAAGATCACTCGGATTCTCCTCTGATGACACATGACGCCACTGATGATCAGTAGTCAACTCTTTAATTGTTGCCACTCAATTTGCAACAAACGTCTTCAACTGGTAAGACTCTTTTTGTATCCACTAAAGCACGATCATAAAGTCACTCCACAGATACACTTTATTCACAGGAATTTCTAATGCAGATATTACTCTAACAGTTAACTTTGCAAGCAGGACTGCCGCACAAAGCTCCAGTCTCGAGATTGTAACACGTTTTATAGGCAAGACTCTGGATTTACTAGTCACTAGCCTTGTCTTCACTTCTCCATCTCTTGAACGGGACTTGCAATATATGGTTGCTACGTATGCTACCTCAGAGGCATCTGCAAATCCATGAAGTTCCACATAGTCTACTTCTGCAGTAAGAATAAACCTTTCAATTTCTGTTTTACTTAAAACTTTCAATTCAGTAGAGAACTTCTTCCATTCATCGGCTTCCTTTTTCGGGAATGGTTCATTCCAATTTAGCTTTAACAACCACAACCGTTGGAGGAATATTTTGGCTTTACTTATGATTGGCCCTAGTAAACCAATCGGGTCAAACAATCTTGCAATTGTGCACAGCATCTGTCGTTTGGTAACAACTATGTCTTTATCGATTTTCACTCTAAAACAGAAACAGTCTCTTCTAGACCTCCAGGGTACTCCAAGTGTTGTAGATTCTTCTTCATTAGGAAAGGAGTAGGTGTGATCTTCCGCAAGTTCAGCATGATTACTGCACCACTTGTGCAGTGTCATTTCTACCCTCTTCAGTATTGCATTTAACTGCGATTTAAGCTCCTTAGCTGTACTCAAAGATTCCGCTCCGCTAAGAACATCATCTATATAAAAATTTTTAAGTAAGAATGGCGCAGTTAATGGAAATTGTGGACCTTCATCATTCGACAATTGTTTAAGAGCTAAGTATAGCTAAGTATGGCGCACGAACTGTACCGTAGGGCACAGTATTTAGCTCTTAGATTTTCACAGGTGGATCACTTTCTTTTTTCCTCAGGATTCGCTGCAAGCATGTCTGTTCAGGGTATGCGAATGGGTACTTTCTAAATCTAAGCATGATTGAAAAGAGATCATCTTAAATAACCCCTCTATTACGTTGTAAAGAATTTAACGAAATTCCATTTGATGCCAAACATGATGCATTAAACACTGTTCTCAGTTTAGTTGTTGTTCTTTCAGGTCGTTATACACCGGGATATGGCATATAGTACACTACCTGGGCTCATTTTTCTCTTTAACCTCAATCATATGCCCTAGCTCTTCATACTCCTTTAAAAAATCCTGATACAGACTTAAATATTCAGGGTCTTTAACTAATGTTTCCCATAGGGAATTTAATCTCTCAAGGGCAAAATCTTTTGAATTTCCTAAGCAAATAGGATCTTCCATTAGTGGCATTGTTACAATATATCTCCCTTCTTCATTCCGCTTATGAGTTTCCACATAATGTTCTTCACATATGGCTGTTTCTTTATTTTTTGGAATGGCTGTTTCAACATTTTCTATTTCCCAAAAGTTTCTCATTGTTTGTTCTAAGTCATCACATTTTTTCATTAACCCACGATGTACGCGACTCTGTTCTTCTGATGTAACGCTTCCCGACACAATAAACCCAATATACGCTGTTTTGTAAAATAAGACTCGAGTTTTCGTAGCGAATCTGTTCAGACTTTAATATTTCAAAGAAAACCTCAGCACCTAAAAGCATCTCTATACGTTCTGGAACATTAAAATTCTCATCGGTTAATTTTATGTTACAAAAATCCTGCATTTTAATATTGTTACGAAATGTACAGGCGTGCTGGGATGATTTCCCCGCAAAGCAGTTTTAGGGTTGCCATAAAATGACAAGATAAGGTAGGGTTGTCACATTTGGCAAGAAATCGTCCGTTTGGCGATATTTCGCGACAAAATTGGCGATATGCCATGGACGGATGGAGAACCTTCTCGAACGAATTCTTACCACTTTAGCCCAGAAACAAGCCGAAAGCTATGTAAACCCTGCTGGTCCGCAGTCAGTTAGAATCGAGTTGGTGTCTCGTCTAGCGAGTCAATCCCAGCGGAGTCGATCGAGTTGACAGCCGGGCAGCGAGTGCCGAGTGGGTCGTCGAGTGCACCGAAAGAGCCTCGTAGTGTATCGCGGTTAGTACATAGTCGAGAGAGTGTATTGAGCTCCGGGAACGACCGAACCGAAGAGTCGGGAGCTGTGTTCTGTGTGTCGTCGAGTGCATCGCGAGTTGTAGCGTGAAAAGTCTCAAGAGTACGTGGAGTTCCGAGAACGACAACGCAGATTCGAGAGCTGTACTCTAGTGCTTTGCCGTGAAACTGTCTCCACCGTGATAGCCTGATAACCTGGAGGCTGTGTTGCTGATCGTGTCAGCGTGTTTATAGCATGGACCTTATAAGAAACAGACTAACCCAAACGGTTTTTCTCCCTCGTCTGAGGCGTTGCCGGCTGTCACCTTGATCACATCCAGAGGAGTAGGACGACTTGCAGAAATTTAACATTGGTTGGCTATTGCAGCGTGTATAATTATCAAGAAAAAGCTGTATGTAGCGCCTCATTTAACAAATTAGAATTTCTATATATTTTTATTTTTGAAATTGAGATTGATTTTTAAAACTTTAGCATATTTATCAAGTATAATTAACAAATAATTATAAAGCTATTCCATGCTTTCAGGGCTGGATATTTTTTTAGCTTTTCCTATGCTGTAAGGAAATTTGCAACTACTTCTTTTAGAAAATAATATTTTAAATCTGAACTAATAGAAAATTTCAAACAAGCAATTTTCTCTTGCAATTTTTATGCTTTTTATGGGTGTAAATAAGTAAAAAGTACTAAAATATTTAAAAACGAATTTTTGAAAGTTTTGTTTAAAATTCTAAATTGTGCTGCTTTTTTTAAATTATAGATGAGTATTATAGCACAATTTCTATAACGGAATTTATTTCAACTATATTTCATAATACATCATAGTGATAAACACTTTTGACTCCTTAAAATTTTTATACATTTAATTCTAATATTAAAATTGTATTTAACCGTAATAATTAATTTTGCTTGTATTTTATAGTGATTATTTTTTAAATTTATTTTTAGTTCCTAATAAGATTTTTTTATTTACTGTTCATTTAATTTATGAGCCTAAAGGAGCGGTAGCCTAGAAAGGCTGTTAGTTTCGAAGCGGCATTTTGCGCTGTTTTACTGTAAATGTTCTGTCTCCTTGCAAATTGTTGTTACCAAATATTATCGCCCTGTATTATATGTAAAGAAATTAAATAATGAAGAAATCTGCATGAATACATGTATGTTTCTTGCACTGTGACAAAAACGACAGTATCTAGAGCCATCAAATTTTGAATAATGTAATCCTCCAACCGAACATGGGCATCTGGATGGCCGAATTTCGAATTTATTTTAATCTATTTCATATTTTGTAAAACTTTAACGAATTTTTGATTAACAAACTCAACGAGTTCAGAGCGAGCACTGTACAGAAAATAACAGTTTTATCTCCAGTGCGAAAATTCTAAAGATATGCTATTTTCAAATAAATGTGGTTTACGGGCGAAGAACATGATATTCAATAAATATAGGTAACACACAAAACTTTAAAAAAGTTGCTTCTAGATTTTATTTTATCTTTTTTTCTTCCTTCATTACGTCTCAGAAAAATTTTATGCTCCGAATTTTATGAGTTATTAAAATAACAAATCCACTTTAATGTAAATAATTCAATTGATCATATAATCAAATAAGTATGATCCTTTTATAATGTTATTATAGTTTAGAAAAATCGCTGCCTGAAAATGGTCATTAAATTTAAAAAAAAAAATTATCAGATCTTGTTTAATTTTACCTTATTTTCATTTCAAAGCATCGCGTAATCTTATTTAATCTTACTTTATTTTTACGCAAAATTAAGTTCATAATTTTTGTGCTTAGAGTTTTTACCGTTTTACCAATGTAAATATGTTCGTACAAGAATTAGGCGTGAAAAAATATGTGCGAAATACAGTAAAAAGTGCTTTAATGAGATATATTAAATCCTATTTGGAAAAAACTGTGGCTTTCATAATCTCATCACTATACAATGTATCACATTTAGTAATTAAAAAGAGTTATATGATACAAACGCCATAGGTTTCAGTGTTAAAGTTAACCAGATCGTCCCTACTCTTTCTTGCCGACATGTCGGTGACGCACGCCCCGCCCATTGGGCTAGTCTATCTCTTATAAGGTCCATGGTTTATAGTAGATCTTCAACGACTGTAAAAGTGTTTTGGAGCTGTCGTGATTAATATTGGTAAATGAAGTGAGTTTCGATACTCCATCAAGTGTCGTCGTTATTCACTCCAAATCTACGAATCCCGTACGAACGTGAAGGAAGAGAAAAACGCAACAACTGGTGTCAGAAAAGGTGGTGTGTGTGGTGTGGTGTATTTAATTATGGCAAAGCACACGAGGGCTATCTGCCTAAGGGGAGGGATGCCTTCGTGGAGGACTTTCTAAGGGAAACTGGCTCGTATATACGTTACACATGGAGAAAACCACGAAAACACCCATGCAGCCAAACCGTTCGCGTGATTCGAACCTCGGACCGAACTACCAGTGTTCAGCGACTTTACCGCTCGGTCGCTGGTGGCCTCGGTGTCAGAAAAGGAAAAACGCAACAATACAATCTCTGCTTACAAACGATGACGTACTGCCGCCATCAAGTAATGTTTTGACTGGCTGTAGCTTACCCATACCATCATTAATAAAGCAAATCGTGGTGCTTAAAAGAACACTTTTTTGGATCTGTTTACGTTTGTCGCTGTAAGCAGAACATTACCACTGTTAGACAGGAAGTCTGGCGCTAGGGGGAAAGCACACTGGAACTACTCGCTGTTTCGTTTTTATTTTTTTCCTTCTCTTTCGATGACTTATTTTCTACTGGAAAATGCAGTGTCACGTGGTGTCTTTTCTCACAAACGGAACACGAAAACTTTGATTTGCAGTTTTTGACAGAATGATTTAATGCTAGGCAATTAAAGCGCAATTTATTACTTTTGATTATTTCAACTCGATCATTCACCGGTTGTTTCATACAACGCACTTAAGTCTTTTACCTCCGCAATGAATGCCTTTGAAACATTTTTTGACGTTTTGTAATTGTTACAAGATTTTTGAAAACTGTCCACACTTACGGTGTTGGGAATGGCATCACTACGCCAGCGAATAAAAAGCCAGATAGAGACTGACGTCATGGGACGCCAGAGGAAAACGAACAGTTCCGGTTTAGTTAGCTAAGAACGATGTTTGCATGATGTGGCTAGATAGATATTGTAGCTAGATAAATATTTTATATTCTTTTAACTTGTCTTTATGTGTAAATAAATCTTTTTGCTTAAGTTTAAATGAAGTACTCCATTTATGACAAGATAGCTGTTAATTCATCGGGTAGATGACTTACGAATCCCTTCTGAGCTAGCCATTGTTCGAACGTAACGCCTTACGTAACATAACATTGTGGCGCCAAGACGTGGGGCGCGATAACAGCTAAAATAAATTGAAAATGGAGCTTACACAGCTGAAAACCGAAAGAAAATGTCTAAGAACTTCCTTTACCACATGTGCAAACAAAATTGATGCAGAACTGAAATCAGATATTCCTGATTTGAAGCTACTTTCGATTCTGGAACAACAGCTTAGAGACAAGTTTAATCGACTTGAAATTTGCCAAAAGGAAAGTAAC